CGCCAAGATTGCCAACCCACCAGGTGTCGTGCCTGGGTTCACCTGTTCCCAAGATCACCACTCAACTGCCTTCCTCCACAGACAGAAGCACGCCACGGGGGGTGGTGCCACAGACAGCTAAATGGGAGGGAGGAAAGGCACTCGCTAGGTCCCCCTCATTTGCAGGGTCCTCTCGGGCTACAAATCTCCCTGGTTCTTGGAGCCCAAGAGCGAACACCGGTTACTTGGTACAGTCAAGGGAACATTTCACCCGCTCAGGGGAGGATTGCTATCCTCTCCCATCCCCAGTTCGCACACACAGGAATGCCTTCAGCTGCCGCTGCTGCTGCTGCCTCATCTTGATTATGGTGGTGGTGCTGGTGGTGGTTGTGGTTGTCAAAGCCAATATGTGAACCCCGTCAACAGTGTGCTGAGTGAGAGAAGGCAGACACAAAAGGCCGGTCCCGTAGGATTGCAGCGAGCTGGAACAAGGAGAATACGTGAATCCGCAGGGGCAGGATGGGAGGGTGGAGGGGAGCAGCCGGCTCTTCATCTGTACAGGGCTTCCTTATTGGGGGCAGGGGGGGCGGTGCTGAGAAGGTGGTGGAACTCGATAGAGAAGCTGGTCGCCCAACACACACAGCGGGTGCACGAAATGCCTTGGCACTGCCCACTCTAGAATGGGGAGATTGGATGCCATGGGACTTTCGCCTCGATTAAAATAAAGAAATCTCTCTGTCTAAATCAACGAGGGCCTTTGTCCTTCCTTCTCTGGAGGGCCGAGTCAGTCTGCCGCGAGTCAGTCTGCCGCGTCTAGACCACGAGGCTAAAGCCGAGTTCTAATTCGGGGGACAACGTGGCAGGACCAGCCACGGAGGGAAGGGAGATCTTAGTCAAAACCCCTTGGCTGAGTGTCCTATCTCCCCACCAGGATGCCTGTGCCAAGGCGACCTGGCCCTAGAGTCCCTGGAAGGGTTCTTGCCATGAAGGCCTGGGTGGCACCAACAGAAGCCTATGTGGTTGTTGCCCTGCTCTTGTGAGATGTGCTAACCTTGACGCCTCATGAAAGCAACGGCCAGGACAGCCCCGTGCAAAGGGCAGGGGGTGGAGATGACAGGGACAAGGGCTTCGGGTCATTCTTCAGACAGCGAGCAATGGTGCTGAGATTGGGAATGTACGGCAAATGGGGAAAACACGACTCATTCATCTGTCTTCTGGCAGCTACCGGGCCATCGCGTGCACACCAAGCCTTTGGAATTTCGCTGTTCGAATCCGTGCCTATAGGTACTACATTTACTTTTTCTTTTTTTTTCAGCAAGAACATGAAAACTAGATATTGTTATGTCATGTGCCGTTGCTGCTCCGTTGCTCGCTGTCTTGAGAATGTGCTGCAGGGTGGGTGGTAGTGTGCACGCTCATGTGTGAAGAGAATGCAGAAAGAAGTATGGAGAAAAAGTCATTTAAAAAAGAGCCTCATCTTTCCTCCTGGGAGCAGCTGGGGGGTTTGCACCACTGACCTGTGGCTCGCAGTCCAGTCAAGAGCACCAGCAGGGCTCCAGGAACATAAAGTGTAATGGTGGGACAAGACAGGTCTGAACACACGGCTACTAGCAGTAAGAGGAGTCAGCCTGCCTCAGTCGTCTATGCACAGCGGAAAGATGAGCGTCCAGAGAGAGGAACTGGGTGATTCATATACAGTGGGGTTTTTTCACGGAAGGCAATTAAGAAAAAATAAATCTCACAGAAGTAACCTTAACCCAAAAATATCCCCTGTGGTCTACTCATACTCAAAACCAAACACGAGCAGAGTTTAACTAATAAAGAATTCTACCTTGAACAGCGTGCTCTGTAAGATCTATCAGTGGGATCAAATCGGCAACAGTCACGGAAAGATCAGCCAGGGAGCTTGAGTTTAGGTTGATCAGAGAGGAACAACTCAGAAAGGGAGAGTGAGAATTCTCGGAAAACACCGAAAATGTCACCAAGGTCGTTAGCTTTCACAGGTGGAAACGGTTGGTCTGGTCTATGTGCTACTGGCATGTGCTCAGCAGCAACACGGACAATAAAATAAATTCTGCTCTTCGAGATTTGAGGTGGAATCAGCCTTAGAGATTGTCTTCTCCAAGTTTGTTTTCAATAGACAGGGAGATGGGGAGTGGTTTCCCTAAACGTCACAGTCTGTTCAGGAGACGCTGGCCTTGCACGCCTGGGTCATTGCGTTCCTGCTGACCAGTATCACAGGAAGAGAAGGAGTATGAGTGGGTGTGTGTGTGTGTGTTGAGAATGAAGTTTTTGTGTGTATGTGTTAAGAGAATGAAGACTGTTGTGTGTGTGTGTGTGTGTGTGTGTTGAGGATGAAGACTATGGTGTGTGTGAGTGTGTGTGTGTGTGTGTGTGTTGAG